GACACAAAAAGGTACTCCCAGCCACTTTAGCCAGTAAGTCAGCTTCATTGGGGCCCAACTTAAGTGCCTCTATGCAAACACACATAGCATGGGGAATAAACGAGAGGAGTTAGAGATGTGCGCATGCCTGCAGGGCTATGATCTTATTGGCATCTTGGAGATATGGTGGGATGGCTCATATGACTGGAGCATTGGAACGGAAGGACACAGGCTTTTTAGGAAGGACAGGCAGGGTAGATGGCGGGGGGGGTGTCGACCTCTATGTCAATGACCAGCTGGAGTGCATTGGAGCTCTGCCTGGGGATGGATGAGGCCCTCTATAGACAGATAGGAGCAGCCTCATGTTCACAAGCCCTGGTCCTCATGGGGGACTTCAGCCACCCTGATATTTATTGGAGGGACAAAACAGCAGGGCAGAGGCAGCCCAGGAGGTTCCTGGAATGTGTTGATGATAACTTCCTTTTCCAAACGAGGAGAGATGCTATGCTGGACCTTGTTCTCACCAACAAGGAGGGGCTGGTGTGGAATGTGAAGCTCAAGGGCAGCCTTGGCTGCAGTGACTGTGAAATGGCGGAGTTTCAAGATCCTTAGGGCAGCAAGGAGGGCACACAACAAGCTCACTACCCTGGACTTCAGGAGAGCAGACTTTGGCCTCTTCAGGGGTCTGCTTGGTAGGGTATCATGGGAGGTACTTGAGGGAAGAGGGCCCAAGAAAGTTGGTTATTATTCAAGGATCACCTCCTCCAAGCTCAGGAGCGATGCATCCCAACAACAAGGAAGTCAGGCAGAAACACCAGGAGGCCTGCAAGCATGAGCAAGGAGCTCCTGGATAAATTCAAACAAAAAGGAAGCCTACAGAGGGTGGAAGCAAGGACAGGTATACATATACTAGGTATATGGATATGTATACTATATATATACACAGGTATACATATACTAGGAGGAATACAGAGAAATTGTCTGAGCAGTCAGGGATCAGGTTAGGAAAACTAAAGCCCTGATAAGAATTAAATCTGGCCACAGATGTCAGGGGCAACAAGAAAAGCTTCTATAGGTATATTGGTGATAAAAGGAAGGCTAGGGAACATGTGTGCCCTCTTCGGAAGGAAACGGGGGACTTGGTTACCCTGGATATGTAGAAGACTGAGGTACTCAATGACTTTTCCCTCAAGTCTTCACCGGCAAGTGCTCAAGCCACCCCACCCAAGTCGCAGAAGGCAAAGGCAGGGTCTGGGAGAAAGAAGAACCGCCCACAGTAGGAGAAGATCAGGTTTGAGACCATCTAAGGAACCTGAAGGTGCACAAGTCTATGGGACCTGATGAAATGCATCTATGGGTCCTGAGGGAACTAGTGAATGAAGTTGCTAACCCACTATCCATCATATTTGAGAAGCTCTGGCAGTTGGTGAAGTTCCCACTGACTGGAAAAGGGGAAACATAACCCCTGTTTTTAAAAACGGAAAAGAGGAAGACCCAGGGAACTACAGGCCAGTCAGTCTCACCTCTGTGCCCAGCAAGGTCATGGAGCAGATCCTCCTGGAAACTATGCTAACGTACATGGCAAATAAGGAGGTGACTGGGGACAGCTAACATGGCTTCCCTAAGGGCAAATCATGCCTGACAAGTTTGGTGGCCTTCTACAATGGGGTTACAGCGTTGGTGGATAAGGGAAGAGCAACTGACAGCATCTACGTGGACTTGTGCAAAGCATTTGACACTGTCCCACATGACATCTTTGTCTCTAAATTGGAGAGACATGGATTTGATAGATGGACCACTTGGTGGATAAGGAATTGGCTGGATGGTCACACTCAAAGAGTTGCAGTCAATGGCTCAATGTCCAAGTGGAGACCAGTGATGAGTGGCGTTCCTCATGGGTTGGTATTAGGACCAGTGCTGTTTTAACATCTTTGTCTGCGACATGGACAGTGGGATTGAGTGCACCCTCAGCAAGTTTGCCGATGACACCAAGGTGTGTGGTGCGGTTGATGAGGGAGGGGATGCTATCCAGATGGACCTGGACAAGCTCGAGGAATGGGCCCGTGCGAACCTCATGAAGTTCAGCAAGGCTAACTGCAAGGTCCTGCACAGGGGTTGGGGCAGTCCCAAGCATGATACAGGCTGGGCAGAGAATGGATTGAGAGCAGCCCTGAGGAGAAGGACTTGGGGGTGTTGGTTGATGAGAAGCTCAACATGATCCAGCAATGTGCGCTTGCAGCCCAGAAAGCCAACCGTGTCCTGGGCTGCATTAAAAGCAGTGTGGCCAGCAGGTCGAGGGAGGTGGTTCTGCCCCTCTGCCCCGCTCTGGGGAGACCCCCCTGCAGTGGCGTCCAGTTCTGGGACACCCAATGTAAGAAGGACATGGACCTGTTGGAGCAAGTCCAGAGGAGGGCCGTGAAGATGATCAGAGGTCTGGGGCACCTATCCTATGACGACAGGTTGAGAGAGTTGGGGTTGTTCAGCCTGGAGAAGAGAAGGTTCTGGGGAGACCTTATTGCAGCCTTCTGGTACCTGAGGTGGGCCTACAAGAAAGCTGGAGATGGACTTTTTATAAGGGCATGTAGTGATAGGACAAGGGGTAACAGCTTTAAACTGGAAGAGATTTAGATTAGATATAAGGAAGAAATTCTTCACTATGAGGGTAGTGAGGCACAGGTTGCCCAGAGAAGTTGTGGATGCCCCATCCCTGAAAGTGGGGCTTTGAGCAACTTCAAAATCGGATGGGAGTGTTGATCTGCTCAAGGGTAGGAAGGCTCTGCAGAGGGATCTGGACAGGATGGATCGGTGGGCCGTGGTCAATTGTATGAGGTTTAACAAGGCCAAG